ATGGCATTGCTCGAAGAGTGTGATGGAGTTCCACCACTAAGATAAGTCTAGCTGTGACAACTCATTTCAAGCTCATGAGAAGAAATCTTACCAGATCACAAGGATGCAGCATTACTGACTATTTAATTTGGTTCTTGCTTCAACAAAACCCCCCCCCCTCCCCGGCCCACAACTCCCGGCCCACCCCTGGCCCCCCCCCCTCGAAAAAAAAGTAAAAGAAAGGGAGTACATGTACAAGATTCGACCAACTGATACTTGATATCATTGAAGTAATGAGACAGATAGGACAGCACTTCATTAATATGAAAATTATTGAATTGGACAAAAGCTTTAATTTAATTAAGTCCCTTATCTCCATGTGAACATATTACATACAACAAATAATTTATGATCCTCATTGGTGTCTAGTAAATCAAGTTTCCCTGGATAATTTAGTAAAACTATTCGAGAATTGGGATAACTGCACCGCTTTCTTTTACCAACAGTGTCAACTTTGTTAACAAGGATATTGTTTGATCAATAGCATTTGATTCAAATTAAATCCCATTTGGCATCTACAATCGACATAATTTAATTGATAATTTATATTTTTTTTAAAAACTGAATGCTGCCATTAAAAGAAAGCTAAAATCTTCAAATCATTATGATACACGTTCTTCCATTGACAGTAGAACCCTCTCAATCCCAAGAACTAAAACTAAGACCATCGGTGAACGCTCCTTCTGCTTCCATGGGCCCACGTTCTGGAACCAGCTCCCCTTCCATATACGTCATAGTGAAACCTCGTCCATTTTCAAAAAGTCCNTCAAGGACCCCCCTCCTAATTAATTATGTCAATATTCCCCACCCCCCCCCCCCACCCCCGAACAAAAATTAATAAATGAATATAGGTATACGCTCTACATTTTTCACTAATTAAATATAAAATAATCAAAATCAATAGAAATATTAATAAAAATAAACAATAAATTATGATCTTTTTTCAAGCTGTAACATATAGAGGGGAAACCCATTCATTAAATTTATTTTAAAAAAAACAAACTAATTTTTAACGACTTTAAAAGCTGTAACCATTAGAATCAATGACTAATGTCTGACATTTAAATTTCGCAGTTTATTAAGAATGGACAAGGTTTAAATATTATGGTTAGTACATGTATTGCCGTTCTGTTTGTATTTGTTGTTGCTGTTGTTTTAACCTTCACGTTGATAAGCCAAAAGCTTTCTCCTTCGCAGTAGGGCACTGTAACCGATCAATTGATGGCATTGCTCGAAGAGTGTGATGGAGTTCCACCACTAAGATAAGTCTAGCTGTGACAACTCATTTCAAGCTCATGAGAAGAAATCTTGACAGATCACAAGGATGCAGCATTACTGACTATTTAATTTGGTTCTTGATTCAACAAAATCCCCCCCCCTCCCCGGCCCACAACTCCCGGCCCACCCCTGGCCCCCCCCCCTCGAAAAAAAAGTAAAAGAAAGGGAG